TACTAATGAAAAATCCTAAAGTAGTTACTAGGGCACCTTTTCACACTTGTGAATGTCTTCAAAATTTTCCTGAGTCCCCCCAAAAGTAGGAGATGGTAGATGTGCAAACTGAGCCAGAATGGTTCTTGTTATCAGTTGTAGTCAGAAGTCAGCACATAGATATTAAACGTGCACAAAATATTTTGAGTCTTTTTACACTTTTAAAAATACAGATTGCAATCTTCCAAATTTAAAGCAAATAAATAAATAAATAAATAAAACAAAAAAAGGATCAAATAGTTTAGCTATGCAAATCTATAGAACGCATTTTAAGCACCTCAGTCAGGCACTGCATTTAGTTATTTAAATATGAATTTAAGTTTTCAAACTCCTTTGTTACTAAGATATAGGAAAGGAGTCATGGTAGTGATGAAAATTAACTCTGTTACCTGGTTAATCAAGTATTTGTCTCATCAGAGGTGTCCTTCTGTCACACTTTTTAGGAAGAATACAAAGAAGATGCTATTTCAATTTCAGTAGGGCGAGTTGCTCCACTGTTCAGCTTCACTGTCTTCATTAGAGTGCAGCAGGACTGTGTTTGAGCTAACACATTTAAACCTTTCATTAGAAAGAAAATTCAATGTAGAAAAAGTAGCGGAATTAAATTTAATCCTATTTTTACAGAGCACATAAACAATGAGGCAGAAATGATAGCCAAAGAGAAAAGGAAAGACTATGTGGGACAAATCTATAGCTGTTTTAAGGGGCTGATATTTATTCCTTCAAAGTCTATTTACCCCAGGTCTCTTGGCATCTTGTGGGTACAATTGCTTTTCATCAGCATACACAGTAATGCAGTGATGGCCAGAGATGCACACTGTAGCACTCAATCTGCTGCCCCCTGAGCTTTTCCAGCCACCTCTCCACACCAAGGTTTATGCGTCATCCAGACCTCTAGCTCTGAAAAGCATCTTGGAAACACCTTTCCATACTTGCGCTCCACTTCCTTACCCTAGATTGCTTCCCAGGCACAAAATGGCAAGATCTCTCATCCTAAGAGGAGGGTGAGGAGCCACGTGGGCCCAGTTTGCATTCTGAGCTAACTGCATGGCCCACCATAGACATAAATTGGAAAAACACTCCCTGAAGCAGTGAACAGGTTCACGGAATGGTTCAAGTCAGGCATAGTTCAAGCCAGGTTCATCCCTGGATTCTGTCCTTTTTGCAGTGAGGAGACGCGGGCACACCTTTTCTTCATGTGTGCCATGCCGCAGTCCCTCTGGCAACTCTTCTCCTCTCACCTCTTTATTTTTATCCCCCTTATCCAAGACGACACCAAGTCCTGGGACTTTCTCATCAACATCCATTAGCCCTGGCCAAAACTGTAGTCCATGGCCCCTGTAGAAGCAAGCTCAACAGGGAACCCTTTTTGAATTCCTTGTCCCACTACACCTCTAGGAAGTGCACTCCTGGCCATTACTCACCAGCTCTGTGGGCACTTTCAGGGTGTGCTGAGTGCTACTGGGGCTGTTCTGCCCTATGGCCCCCTTAGTTTCCTCTTTTTTTTTTGTTTTGTACAATTTCATCCCTCAGCCCCCTTCCTTTTTTCATTTGTCATCTACTGTAATTATTAGGTTTTCTCTTTCTGTAATCCACCCTCTGGTTTTTTCTTGGTTTTTTAAACCAGAGAAATATTACAGTTTCTAGAGGTCATCTGGCAATAGAGGAAAATTAATAGGAGCAGTGGCCATGAGGGTCAGGGGTGCTGTCCCCACACATCTCCTGCATGGCAGTGAGAGGGGATGGCTGCCTCAGCAGCACTGCTCCTGTGCTGCCTTCTGCACCCCAGAGGAGCAGGAGATCGCACCCTCCTCTAATGCCAACACGCCGCACCACCAGTGCCACCACCGCATTGCCTTTGCTGCCACCAGCCCCACCACTGTTGCTGACCTCCCACCCCCCCCGCCCCAAAACGTGTGGGTCCGGAGCAGGGCACCACCACCCACACCTGGCCGCCGGAGCCCAAGGGTGAGAAGGGCTGTTTAGTGGGACCAGCTGCTACTCCTGGGATGGCGATGGGCAACCTTGGGCAGATCTGCTGTGTGCTGCCAATTTCAATCTGCAAGTGTGCTCCACAGGGAAGTCTGGGAAGCACTGTTACAAATTACACATCATATTTGTACACACACACAAAAAAACCAAAACAAAACAAAACCCAAAACAAAAACAAACAAACAAACAAAAAGCAAAACCCCAACCAAACAAAAAAAAATCCAAACCACAAATAATCTCAGTACTAAATAATGAGCTTCCAGATAGAAGGTGCATGTCTGTCACATTGAAAGCACTAGCGATGCTGAGATGGACTAAAAAGCATTATGAAATAAAGCAACTTTAGAAAAGATACATATGCAATGAATACTACTTTTTCTTCCTTATAGTTTCAGTTTGTAGGTAATAATCATTCAGAGTTTATTGCTTTTATAGCCATTGTTGTCAAGTGTATCACATACATGTAATTTGCCATGCAGAATTTCCACATAAATAAGTGCTAATTATACTGTGGAAACCAAGATGACCTCCCTTATCCTAATTCACACAGGCACACTGTAAAGAGCTCTAAATATTTCTAAACCTGTTCCTTAGTGTAATCAATGTCTGGAGTTCTATACAGCCCTGTGCTAACAGGGAGTAAAAAGCAGGAAAGGCTTCAATGATCATATATTAAAATGTATTTTGAGCATTATCTGTGAAAGAAGGGGTCACTGAGAAGACATTGTATACCAGACCAAATACGTACCAGAATATAATGGAGCCTTTTTAGTGACACCTCTGCTTCCAAACTGCTAACAGCTGATGCAAGATTTGCTTACCTGGAGAAAACACTTCCCTCAGCCAGGCCTCGCCTCCTCAGCACCTCTTAGGTGCAGGATGCTGCCACCACTCCTGACCTGCCAACATAATTACCCATAACTGATCTGGTCAAGATGACACACGTTAGGATCTGGCTACAAATTGGTGTGACAAAAACCCTTCCACACCAGTGCCTCCCCTTTAGTTCAGCACAAGTGTCGTACAAAAGAGTAGACTTGAGTCCATCCCAGACTCCACTGAGAGTCCAGCCAGCTTCACCCAAACAGGACTTGGACCCTAGGAGACAAGACACTGGTCTCTGAAGTCAGTGGCTGCTCTTCTGACTGAAAAAGAAATGCGGTTTGTTCTCAGTAACTGAAAATGTAACTGCAGAGGTTAAAGAAACAGAGTTGCTAAATTCTTAGTATAACCATTTCTGATATTTGCATATACTGTGGACTCCAAAATGCTGGAGGAATGTATTTATTACAAGCTTATATGGTCACAGCACAACATCTGTAGCTGTTTTCTAGGATGTGTAATTCTAAATGCATTCAGTGTAAACAGACTCAGCATTATTACTTCTTGAATCTTTACTGATATTAAAAGGATATAAAATTATATGGAAAAAGAAAACAATGAATGCTCCAAAGCTACATAAAAAGTAAATGAATGAATCCTTAAACATTAAACCACCAGAATTCCCTCACATTATATTTCACTAGAGGCATGATCCCCTCTGCAAATAACTTCTTCCCTTTTCAAATAGGATACCACGATCATACTTCTAAACAGTGGAAATAGAGCAGAAAGAAAACTGCAAGGTTTGCTTGGCTCTCCAAGGACAGGTTTGACATATTTTTAACTGAGGTAATCAGCGAATTAGAGGTGTTCACTTTAAGGTATGCTTTGTGAGCTCTTCTTCAAAAATATAATCCATTTTCATAAGTTACAAAGTTTTTATACACATGTATTTTAGGTCCTGATTCAAACACCACTGAAGCTGATGGCCGCTGAAGACTACCCTCAAGTGGAATGAAACTATTTACTAAATTGCCTAAAAAAAAAAAAAGAAATAAATTACACTTATACTCTATAAAAAAGGGATTAATAGTTTTAAAGAAGCATTACTGTAAGTATGAAGATACATTACTAAACTCAAGCCTTTACATCATGCATCAATGATGTAATGCATTGGTTTGGCTTAAACTCCAGCAAAGGACAATGGGCTAATGCCTATAGAGAAGGAATTAAACACTTTCATTTCTGGCTACAAAAAAAAAAAAAAAAAGTTGCTTAGATAAGGGAAGAAAGATAATTTCATTTAATTTAAGGTTGCCAATTACACTGCAAGATTTTGTCTTTCAGAGCCTGAAGCACAGTCCAACAGCCACCCAGTTGCTATAAATCCCTTAAGCACCCATTTACAATAATTGGGAGGAAAAACTTGGGGTCCAGCTCTTTGTTTCTTCCTAATTTGACAAGTAATGGAGATGGAATTGTTACTTCCTAGTTTGTTTGGGGGATTTTCTATTTATTTTTTTTTTCTTTTCTATAGGTTCAGAAGAAGCCAAAACGAATAGTTTGAACAAAAGTTTAAAACTGACAATTACAACAGAACAGTTTGGTGCCTCCAAATTCCCAGAGGCTGAACTAGTTCTGGCAGTCACCTCTGGTAACCTGCTCTTCTACGAGGGCACAAACACACACACACACAATTTCTTGGCAGAAAGAAACAAATCAATTAAAAATACCTCTGTGCTTGACCTGCTTTAAGCTGCTCGTTGCCTGTTGACATACCACTGTGGCTTGGCACGGGTCATATTTAGCATCTAAAACCTTCCTGTAATGAATAGGACTTCAATAAATGGGCTGTTACAGGGCTATCCCAGAGGTGCAGAAGACAGGATTAAACCCAGTTCTTGCAGCCAGCACCCTGGAAGCTGGAGGCCCAGGCGCACCCGTTTCCAGAAACCCTCTGACTTAAGTCAGCACAACTTGCCATCAGTCAGTGAGGGAAGGAGAAGCACAGGCACCTCACAAGTTGGAATGAGAGGATTGCAAACCAGGGATACCATATCATAGAGGTGCTTTACCTTTCGTGCCAGCTCCGGCTAGCCTTAGCCCAAGCTGCAGAGAGCTGAGAAGGGGCAGCCCGGCTTTCCTACCTGTCAGCACTGAGGGCAGTGAGGGTGAAGACAGAAACACCAACGGACGTGAGCTGGATGGCAGGGATGAGCTTGCAGCCCACCTCCCCGAAAAGCCACTCCTCGGAGAAATACCGGGAGGCATCCACAGGCACACAGGTCACTAGCAGCAGCAGATCACCGGCAGCGAGGCTGGAGATGAAGATGTTGGGCACGCTCCTCATGGCACTGTTGGAGATGAAGATCTTCATGAGGGTGATGTTGCCCAGCAAGCCCACGGTGATGATGAGCAGGTAAAGCGAAGGGATCACGCAGCGGACGGTGAACATGGCCGTGCCCTGTCCCGAGGGCAGCGGGGCTGTGTCTGGCACCAGGTGGGTGCTCCCGTTCCCGCCGAGGGGCACTGCCGAGAGCTCGGGCGGCAGCGCCGTCTCCATCCTCCAGCTTCGGGCAGACTGGCGGCCTCTAGTGCGAAGCGCGGTGGGAGCCACTGGAAAGCTTCACCCCTCTGCCAGTCAACCAACTTTCCCCCCCTTCTTCCCCCTTTTGCTCTGCCGAGTTTTGTCCCTTCAGAAATGCAGAGGAAGCGCTGCCCGTCGGCGCAGTGCGGGGGGGGCGAGCGGGAGACAAGGCAAAGCCGGCGCCGCTCCCTTTCGGCTCTTCGGACAAGCCCTCTCCCGGGTGAGCAGGCGGGCGAGATCCGGAGCCCCGGGGGCAGCCACCGCCATCAGGACGGCAGCCTGCCCTCGGCCCCGGGACCGCCCTCGGGGCTCCGCCGCCGCCGGGGAGGCGCGGTCCGGCCGC